ACAAACTCGATCGTAGCCTTATGGAAAAAAATTGAAAGACGCAATTTGTCTGTTTTCTCTTTCAAATTTTCCATTTGGCTTTTAAGCCTTTCATCGAAAAAAGTTGAAAACAATTCAATATGATTTTTGAACTGGCGCATGGAAGAATTTAGTGGTGGACAATAAAGACAAGAGAGTGTTTATGTCTCGGAACTATCGGTCTGATAGTTGCTTCGCTTCTCGGGCAAATATTTGTTTAAGAACATCAAATTTCAGCGGGGCAACTATCAACCGACAGTTCCTCTACAGAAACAGGCTATCGTTTAAATAGAGTTTCTCAGCCGATAAACACAATCGCGTCACGGGATCAGTTTAATGTAATGAGAATCGGAGGAAATCTAGTGCTGAACTCAAATGGATGAGAGTGAACGATGGCTCAGCGAACCTAATTTGAGCATTTGCATTAGTGCGCTAGTAGACTTCTATAATTAAACTAACTTGTTAATAGCCTAGTATTTTATATTGGAATTAATTCAGCATTGTTTCATTCAGGGACAACATGGGTTCAAGAAATTGTCTGGCAGATATTTAATGAAGGACAAGTCAAAAGTACCTATTTTAGAGAACGCGTGCCATTCCTAGAACGGGCACACCATCCATGTGCTGAACATCCTGAAATCAACACTCTGCCAAGTCCCCGTATTTTAAAGGTTCATCTTCCTTACAATATTATTCCTAAAAGTGCAAACGAAGTCAACAAGTGCAAATATATTTACGTTGCTCGCAATCCAAAGGATGTTGCAGTATCATATTATAAATTCGTGACAAGCTTGGAGAGATTTAAAGGACCATGGGAATTTTACGTTAAGTTATTCGTAGAAGGAAATGGTAAGTTTATTTATACGTTTAGCTCCGAGAGAATGATAACTAAATTCTCCTTACAAGTTACAAACCATTTTACGTTTCTTGTGATAGCTACATTAGGCGTTTATTCTTGGTGATCGATTTGCTGATCCTCACAAGCTATAAAAGCTCTTGCTAAA